GCACCCTGTCCCATGCTGTGGCCACACTCCCAAAGTCCCCAGCCCCAGGGGGAGGCTTGAGAGGCATCAGAAGTGGGGGGCGGCAGCCATTCCAGGGACCATGGCCCCAGCAGACGCCCCTCCCTCCCCCAGTGCCATCTCAGCGGCTGCATGATGGACCTGTTCGTGCAGATGGCCGTGATCATGGGACTGAAACAGACACTGAGCAGCTGCGTGGAGTACCTGAGCCCGTGAGCCCCGCCCCTCGCAGCCTCCCTCAGGGGGCTGAGGACCCCATGCCTCCTGCCCCGAGGACCCAGCCGCTCCCCACCCACGCCACTTGTCCCCACCAGGTGGATTCGAAACAAGTGGCGCTCCTACAAGTTCGGCCCCCTGTCCACGGACCCCGAGCTGAAGGAGTGGCAGCGGAATTACCTCCTGGACCCGGTCACCACCTTCAGCCTGTTCGATGAGTTCATGGAGATGAGTGCGTGGAGGCGGGGCGGGGGCGGGGCTCCGTAGGGCCCGCTGACCACTCCCACTCTGCGCCCCTACCCTCACCTCATGCCACCCCACCCCGCACCCCGCAGTCATGCAATAAGGCTTCCCAGCCATCTTCAGCCTGTGGGATGGGTTCATGGAGATCAATGTGTGGGCGCGAGATGGGGGCAGAGCTCCCAGGGGCCCAGCTGACCGCCCTGCCCCCCGCGCCCCCCCCCAGTGATGCAGTATGGCTTCACCACGCTCTTCGTGGCCGCCTTCCCGCTGGCCCCGCTGCTCGCGCTGTTCAGCAACCTCGTGGAGATCCGCCTGGACGCCATCAAGATGGTGAGGCTGCAGCGGCGCCTCATCCCTCGCAAGGCCAAGGACATTGGTGAGGAACAAGGGGCCCTGTGGACAGAGGGGCTCTGTGGTGGGTCAGGTCTTACCTGGGAGGTGACCCCTGTGTCAGGGCCAGGCCCCCTTGAATGATCACCTAGGCTGTTGGTGAGGCTTGGGGTGAGCTAGCAGGGCTCTCCCACCTGCCACCAGGAGGGGCCTGTAGGCCTTACAGGCTGGGGGCAGGGGAAGGGTGAGGCTCTGGGGTTCCAGTAGCCGGAGGCAGGAAGTGAGCAGACTAGTGATAGGGGGTGTTGGATGTGGGGTGAGCAGAGAGGTGTGTGAGGCCCCAGCTGGGGCTCAGGTGAAGGGGTCCCCACCACCTTCCATACCAGGGTATCAGGCTCAGGGGTGGCTGGGAGCTCACACAGAAGGTGGGGGTTGGAAGACCCTCTCTGTCCACGTTTGGAGAAAGAGCCAAGACTTGTGGGAGGGAGGCACAGAGGTGGTGGCAGGGGTGGACTTCCTGCCCTCATCCCACATCCCCAGAACTGTCCTAGGGTGGAAGGGCCTTAGTCTCCCAGCCTGGGGAAGGGCCCCTCAAGCCACTGCTCTGGCAGGGACGTGGCTGCAGGTGCTGGAGACCATCGGCGTGCTGGCGGTCATCTCCAATGGGCTGGTCATTGCTGTTACCTCCGAGTTCATCCCAAGAGTGGTTTACATGTACCACTATGGTCCATGCCAGTGGAAGGACTGCCCTCCCATGGAGTAAGAAGCCTGCTGGGGACCCCCTCATCCAGATGTCCCTGTCTTGGCAGGTTGCCTGGGGCTCGAGCAGGGCTGGTATCTGGGGCCCTGGGAGTGAGGATTGAGGCCGCAGACCCATTGCTTCCAGGGCCCCTGCCCTGCAAGCTGTTGCCTTTATGGGGTCCTCACCGAGCTCTGACCATGAGGATTCCGCCCCTGTGGACCAGAGCTCTGGGGGCCCCACCACCCACAGGGTCACCTCTGGGAATGAGACACTGTCCCCATGTGTGGGATGGCCATCTCTCCAGGGGGCTACTTTTCAGGAGAGGAATGGGGAGGTGGTCTGAGGTATGCCCCACCCTGATTCAGGCTCTGGGCTGGTACTCCTTACACCAAAGTTGTTCAGGGCCCCAGGGGGGTTGGCAAAGCCTGGCAGGGGCCCCTGTTGAGTGCCCAGCAGGTAGCCCACAACCTGCCTGTCCCCAGCTCCTCCCTGCCTGTCCCCCGCTCCTCTCTGCCCCCAGCTGCCTCACTGGCTACGTCAACCACAGTCTGTCAGTGTTCCAAATCAAGGACTTCGAGAGACCTCTGCAGGCAGAGAGCTGGGAAACTGTGACTGAGTGCAGGTGGGAGCCCCTGCCCTCTGCCCTGCCCTTTGAGCCTCTGACTTCTGCCCAGCTCCTCCCCACCCCACCCAAACCACACTCCCTGTCATGGAGTCAGTGCAGACTCAGAACAGCCCTGTGAGTTTCCAAGACAGGAATGTAGAAAGCTCTGTCTTTCTCCCAAGCAGCAACTGGTGGATTTGAACTGCTAACCTTGAGGTAGCAGCCCAGTGAAACCACTACACAATAACACATAAAACCCCAAACCAAACTCACTGCCCTGGAGTCAGTGCTGAGCTTCTGATCCTGGAGGCTCCTCCCACCCCAGGTACCGGGATTACCGCAATGGCCACAAGGAGCACTACAGCCTCTCCAAGAAGTTCTGGTTCCTTCTGGCCATCAGACTGGTCTTCCTCATCCTCTTCGAGGTGGGCCAGGACTCTGGGCTGGGGTCCTGGGGTGGGGTGGGGCAGCTCTCCCTGGAGCCCTCCACCCTGACCTGAAGCCCCTCTGGACTCCTGACCCACAGCACGTGGCCTTGTGCATCAAGCTCATTGCTGCCTGGTTCGTGCCCGACGTCCCTCAGAAGGTGAAAAACACAGTTCTCATAAACAAGTTCCAGAGGGTCCAGGAGAAGATGCACCAGGAGACATACCGGCAACAGTCGGGGGGGCCAGAATCCCCCTTGGCGTCCAGCTCCTACCCCAAGAGCACAGCTGTGTAGGCTTCTGGAGGGGCCTTTGCGGGCACTGAAAGCTGCGGCCCCCTGCTTATGCCTGTGGGGAGGGGACTGGGAAGACCTGTGGATGTGGGTGTGGATGGGGGTTGGCTCGGGAGGCCCAGGGACTACAGGAGTCCCTGAGTGTCTTATATCTGGGGGGTGGGTGCCCTGGGAGGACATAATGTGCCCTGGTGGCACTCTGGATTAAGCACCAGGCTGCTCCCTGCACAGTGGGTGGCTCAAGCCCACCCGCCGCTGCCGCCCTCAGGAATGAAGGAGGATGTCTTCTGTGGTGAGATTGGCACTTTTGGATACCCACCTCTCCCAGATCAGTGCCATCTGTGCTGAGTTACAGTGGGCCCAACCCCCCAACCCACATATGGCCATGGGGCCCGTATGGCTGCCTGCTTCACAGTGACCCCGCAGGGCCCAGCAGAGGTGCTCCACTGGGCTTCCCAGAGGGAAGATCCTATGGGAACAGACAGTCACATCTTTCTCCAGAGGAGCACCTAGTGGATTTGAACCGCTGACCTTGGGGTTAGCAGCTCGACAGAATGTGACCAATGTGCCTCTGAGCCGACATCAGTGGGATTATTTGCAGGGCTAGCACATGACCTGTGGGGTCTGTTCCATCTCTGTTAGAGCCAGGACCTGGGGTTGGAGGTACCCCATTAACTGGGGCCGGGGCTTCCCATGCAGCTGTAGTGTGGGAAAGCGGGCCAGACCTTCCCAGTAAAGAATTACATCTGGCCTCTGATTTCTGGGCCCTCCCCCACTCCCTCCGCACACTGGCTGGGGGTGGTGTCCTCCCACTCCACCTCTCCTAGGAGACCCCCTGGCTGCCCTGGGCCAGCAGAAGATCCCATAATAAAATAAAACCTGTGTGTCCTGGTTCAGGCCGTGGTGGTGTGCGGGACCAGGAAGAACAGGTTCGAGGGGTGGGTGTGCAGCCTCTGGCTTTGGGTGCACCTTGCTTTCCCATGGGCTCCCAGAGGAGATAGCTGGTAAAGGATCAGGAATGGGGAGGGTGGGGGCTCCCAGAAGGAAAGGACTGGCTGGGTGAGTGGGGCTGTCAAGGACTCCTGGGCCTGGTAGAGCTGGTTTGACCTCTGCCTCAGGCTCCATTAGCTCCTGGGGCCTGTGCCACAGGCTGCAAGGTCCCCAGCCTAGGGCACAAAACGGGTCCACCTGAGTCCGCCCTCTGCCCTGGTTGCAGGGCGGGGCTGCACCTGCCGCTACTGCTGCTGGGCCATTTGCCGCTGCGCACCTGCCCAGGTGAGCCGCCCCGCCCCCGCAGCGGCCGAGCCTCAAGCGTCGTCGGTGGCAGGTGAGTGGCCATGGCAGCTCAGACTGTGGGTTGGTGTTAGGTGGGGGGGTGGAGGTCGCCATCCCTGGCGACACAGGGCCCGGACCCGGAGTCAGGTGCTCCTCGCTGGGAGCACCTCTGCCGCCCCCAGCAGGAAGTGGCTGGGAGCCGCCGGCCACCTGCTTTTCCCTGTACCAGCCCCAGGGACTGGAAGCGGGGTCAGCGGCGAGGGGCCAGGCTGCTCTTTCCGCTCAGCTGGCCAGGCCCAGGGGCTGCCCGCGTCCTTGCTGTGCGGGCGCGCAGTGAGACACCGCTTTGCCCCAGGGCGAGACCCAAGGCCTGCGGTCTCTGAGAGTCAGAAATACACCCGGAAACGCGGGGATGAGGGCTGTGGGTGGAGCTCTCCGCTGTCCCTCCGCTCCCCACCCCCGCTGGTGCCCTGCCCCGCCCTTGCCGACACCCCCCGCCCCCCAGCCAACCCGCTGAGGGCTTACTGTGGACCAGGCCTCCCCACCCCCAGAAGGCGGGGCGTGAGTTGGAGGTGCCTCCAGAGGGGCAGCGGTCTTGGCACAGCAGTGGACCTGGTCAGAGAAGGTGGAGAGGCCCCAGGCTGAGGAGAAGCCTGGGACTTGGGGTTCCTGTGCCCAGGAGCGTGTGCCGGGAGCAGATGGCGGCTGGAGGAGGTGTAGAGAGGGAGTCCAGGACGATTAGGACCTCATGGTCACTTGGCGGGGGCAGGGGACCCATTCCAGAAGGGGCGCAGGTTCCAGTGCGGGGTGCCCCTGGGAAGCCTCCCTGTGGGACCAGTGATTCTGCGCACGCTCTGGGGGTGGGCACTCACTCTGGCCCCTGCAGGAGGAGGCTCAATGAGGCACACACCCCTAGCCAGAAGTGCCCATCCCCCAAGAGCTTTGCATTTGAGGCTGTGGAGCAAGGGCACTGAGCCACTGAGGAGGGGCTGCTGGAGGGGTGGAGCAGGGATGAGGTCAGGCCTGCACAGGTGGGGTTCAGTCTGAGGCAGAGAGGCACAGGGAATTTCTCTCTTATACACACACGGCCCACAGGGGTGACAGTAGCAGGGCAGGGCAACCTAGCCACCTGTGCCTGGGCTCAGACTCTGGGGTTCCAGGGTCAGTGGGGGTAACAGGAGGAGATGCCTGCAGCCTCTGCCCCTATGTGGGCTGTCTTGTCTGCCCTGGGGAGCCACTCCCAGGCTGGCGGATCCTGCCTGTAAATGGGTTGGAGGAGCCCCCAGAGTCCAACTCGAGGCCCTGTTAGGGATCAGGAGTTCCTTGCCCCCTCTGTTGGGAGGTCAGAGAAGCATTTGTTGGCAGTGACACCCCTCTGGCCACACCACCCTGGCCTCCTGGGCTCTCACACCACCTTGGGCCCTGGCCCTCAGCACCTCTGCACCGCCCCCAAGCAGTCCGCCTGCGAGGGGAGGTGCATGGCAGGGGCAGGAGGCGTCGCCTGACTCAGCCACAGGAAGGGCGGGCGGGCGGGGGGCCTGGGTGGGGTTGGGGTCAGGAAAGGATGTAACTGCAAAGCCAGGAAGCTACGGAGAACGTTTGAACTAAAACACAGACAGAAGCAGACGCTGCGTCAGGAGGCAACATGCTGAGGAAGGTGGGGGAGGCCAGCGGTGGGGGGTTGCTCCCCCCCACACCACACTCATGGCCAGCACACCCGTAGGAGAACACTGGAGCCAGGTAACTCCTTGTCCCCAGCAGCCTGAGAGAGCTGCGGCTGGTGGGCCTCTGGGCCTGGTGGCTGGTCACCAGCAGGGCCTGGCGCGGGGAGGTGGCACTGGGTGTGGCATGCCCACGAGGTTTGTAAGTGGAGGTGTGGCAGGGGTACACGCAAGAGGCACTCCAGCTGTGCTGTGGGAGAGGGGTGCACCTTGGGTGGGCCCCTGAGCTCTGGAGGCAGGTGAAGTGTGCATCATCGAGCATATGTGTAAGGCCATGCCAGTGAGCACATGTGTATGCATGTGTGTGCCTGTGTGTGCATGTATGGGCACCAGCTGCCTGTTGGGCTCAGATCCAAGCAGTTCAGCCTTACCTCCCTGGCAGGCATCTGAGGGAGGTGCCCTGAGCCCACTGGGTCCTTCTGGGGGCACTGTGGGGGGTGGGCTGGGTTGCTGGAGGCAGTGCCGGTCACTCTGTCTTCACAGTTCCTCCTAAGAGGGCTCTTCTGCCCAACAACCTTCCCAAGACTGCCCCTACTCTATTGGGTTTCTGAAGGGATTTCCCCCCCACCCCCATTACCGGCCCCTGTGGGACCTGGTCACCGATTCCTGTGGAAAGTCCCCAGCAGAACCAGGTCCTGTTCCAGCCCCACGAGTGCCCTCTGCAGGGGCTGGAGTAGGTGTTCAGCGGGGTGATCTGAGGGCCTGGCTGCTCCCAGCCTGTCACCACTATGCACAGGTGGATGTGGGCAGCAGCCCAGGTGGGGCGAGAACCATCACCTGTGGGTGGGGTGGAGGCTTGCCCTGGAGACTCAGGGTCTGGAAATGACATTCAGTCACAGTGTGGGCTGCAGAGCTGTGGGGCTGGGATAAGGGCCTGCCTCGGACACCTCAGGGCTGGGCCCCACCTGCAGGGCTTGCAAGTCTGTGACTGGACCTGACTGGGGGTGTGGAGTCTGGGTGGGTGGGCTAGGACACACAGTGTGGCAGTAGGCCTGCCACCTATGGCCCAGCCCCTCCCTACCAATTCTGGAGGCCAGAGAGCTGGAGCGGGACATAGCCCACACGCTGGGGCCTGGTTGGGAGGGCCTTGCGGGGACAGATGGGACTGCTGCTGGCCAGGCCCTGTGGCTGGAGCAGTTACTTGTTAACTCAACCTGTTTCTGTTTAACTTGTTCCCTGCACTGGCAGCAGCCTCTGACCCCTCTGGGAGTCCTGACCAAGTGGCCACAAGGATAGTGTTCCCTGGCCCCCCTGGCCCTTGGTGGACCTGTCCACTTGGGCTCGGGAGCTCGTGGAGCCTGGGGTGGCAGCGGGCCCAGCCTGCCCTGGAAGGCCAGCCAGAGTCATGGCAGGTAGGCGGGTCAGAGAGGGCTCCTCCACCTCCTGCCCCTTTCACCTGGCGCCGGGTTTGGTCTGACCCCGGAGAATGCCAGTCTGTGCCCCTCCCTCTTGGCCTTGTTCACGGACAAGGGCCGATCTGGCCTCTGGCCGAGCTGTTAGTATTGACCCAAAGGCCTTCAGACCCTCTGGGGGTGGGGACCAAGGCCTGCCAGGGGCGGGTGGTAGCTGTAGGCTGGGCGAGACCGCTCTGCTGAAATGATGGTGGCCTTCTCTGGTCTGCCTCCTGCTTGCCCTGCAGTCCGGTCTCAGGGGCACTGGAGCCCCAGTCTCCCAGATCTGTCCCCAGTGCCCATGCTCACTGAGGATGCCCCTGCAAGGGGTTGGCCTGAGGGGGGCTGGGCCTGGCTCCTGCCCCAGGGGCACACTGGAAGCATGGGAGTCAGGCTCAGCTTTTGTGTGGACAAGCAGCCAGATAGCCCTGGGGTGTGCGGAAGAGCTTGCTATGAGCCATCTGGGTCCTGCCCCAGAATTCAGCTCTGGTCATCACCCTCATGCTGCTGTCCCTCTGAGGACAAGGCCAGCTGTCAAAAGTGCAGGCAGATACACAGACAGGTGCTGCTGTGGGCCTCACTCTATGTGGGACGCATAGCTAGAGGTGCCGTGCCCACCAGCCATGCCCACCCTGCCCTCCTGGGACCCCAGACCTCAGAGCAGGCTATAGGAATGGGCATCCAGGCATGGTATCCTCTCTGCAGGTGTCTGTGACAGCAACCCTGACTTCCTCTCTCCGGCTGGAGATCAGGTCCTGAGGCCTGCCCTGAACAGTGTCCTCACGCTGAACTGCACGGCCCGGGTGGTGACTGGCCATCCCTGTACCCTGCCCTCAGTGCAGTGGCTGAAAGATGGGCTGCCCTTGGGCAACAGAAGCCACTACAGCCTCCAGGAGGGTTCGTGGTAAGAGAATGGCCACCTGGGGACACCCTCCTCTTGGTTGTGGCCCCTTCTGTACCCACCTAAACAGAGACCAGGGTTACTGACCACAGAGATAGGCCCTGGGTTCCAAGTGGCCCTCAGAGACACAGGCCTAGGTCATTGACCACTGGGCCAACCTTGAGATTGGCGGACTCCCCAGTACTCAGACCCGGAATTAGAGTGCTGTCCCAAGCCCTTCAAAGCCCTTCCCCTTCCTGGTTCTAACCACAGCTCATAGCTTAGGGCCCAACGACTGCCCAGAAGCCCCATATCTGCAGGCCTGTGTGGGACATACAGGTAGGGCTCAGGGTACGGTCTTACCAGGGTCGGGGCCAGCCTGTCAGCAGGGCTCGTGTCCAGTGTCCTGGGCATGAACCTGAGCAGTGACGAGGACTACGGGGTTTTCACCTGCTCCATCTACAATGTCAGCTCCCCCTCCATCACACTGAGGAGAACAGGTGAGGGGCTGGGCGTGAGGGCCATGGGGCCTGGAGGGTGCTGGGGCAGAGGCTCAGGCTGAGACTCCTCCCCAGGTTCACCCGGCCATGTAGCCGCGGTGCTGGCCTCCATCCTGGTCGTGCTAGTGCTGCTGCTGGCTGCGCTGCTCTACATTAAGTGCCGCCTGAACGTGCTGCTGTGGTATCAGGAAGCCTACGGCGAGGTGGAGATGAACGGTGGGCGCCTGGCAGGCCTGGGAGGCCTGTGTCCGTGGAGGGGACTGGCGGTGGGGCTGTGCTGAGGCTGGGAAGCTCGCGCTGACTGGCCACCGTCCGCAGACGGCAAGCTCTACGACGCCTTCGTGTCCTATAGCGACTGCCCGGAGGACCGCAAGTTCGTGAACTTCATCCTGAAGCCGCAGCTGGAGCGCTGCCGGGGCTACAAGCTCTTCCTGGAGGACCGAGACCTCCTTCCCAGAGCCGGTACTCCCCCCACCCCACCCCCCGCACCCCCTTCAAGGGGCACCCTTCAAGGTTAGGTCCTGCCTGAGCCCAGGGGCCACCTAGCCTGAGACTCTCCTGGTAGACCCGCCCATCACGGTTCAGCCAGCCCGGCTCTGCCCACTGCCCACTGCCGCGGGGTCCTCCCTCTTCTCACCTCCGCCCTCTCTCCTCTAGGCCATACCACTTCGTCTACCCCCACCCATCTCCTCTAGGACCCGCCCATTCTGGGCCCTGCCCCTCTTTATGCCCCACCTTCACTGGGCCCGGCCCCCACCTCGTTGAGCCGCCCCTCGTTGAGCCTTGCCCCTCAAAACCCTTCCCCTTAAGCCTCACCCCTAGCTCTAACCCCGCCTCTTCAAGCCAGGCTCTGAGCCCAGCCCCCCGGGACCCCACTGCTCGCCTCTCCCTGACCCACCCCCTCGTCCGCGCGCTCCCACCGGCCCCCACACTGCATCTCCTCCCACAGAGCCTTCCGCCGACCTGCTGGTGAACTTGAGTCGCTGCCGGCGCCTCATCGTGGTGCTGTCAGACGCCTTTCTGGGTCGGGCCTGGTGCAGCCACAGCTTCCGGTGGGTCCCACGTGGGGGCGGGGGGCTCCAGCCCCACCTGCCCTGACGCCCGTATCCCCATAGGGAGGGCCTGTGCCGGCTGCTGGAGCTAACGCGAAGACCCATCTTCATTACCTTCGAGGGCCAGAGGCGCGACCCAGCGCACCCAGCGCTTCGCCTGCTGCGCCAGCACCGCCACCTGGTGACCCTGCTGCTCTGGAAGCCCGGCTCCGTGGTGAGGGGCGAGGGGGATGTTGGGGGATTCGTGGGGAGAAGAGAGGGGGAATGTGGGGGTCTCCATGATGAGGGGCCTTGGGGGAAACGTGGAAGCTCCATGGGGCAGGGTGGGCGGTGTTCTGGGGGTCCTGGGAAAGGGTGGTAGAGCCTGGGACATGGGGGACTCCCTGTAGGGGCCTTTCCTGGTGAGGGGTCTGGGTGGCAAGGGGCCCTATGGGTGGGGCCTCCCCGGCCTGGAAGGTCCCTGCAGCAGCTTTGGGCCAGGGCACCATGGGCTTATGTTTCGCCATCAGAAGTGCTCTTGGGACCAAAGTTGGGGGGTGGGGGTGGGGGTATAGCATACAGGGTTTGCAGCCCCCCACCCTGTGGCCACACACATTAACTGGCCTTGTTTTGGGCTTACCAACATCCCTACCTTCCCCCAGACGCCTTCTTCTGATTTTTGGAAAGAGCTGCAGCTGGCGCTACCACGGAAGGTGCGGTACCGGGTGGCCGAGGGGGACCCGCAGACTCAGTTGCAGGAGGACAAGGACCCCATGCTCATCGTGCGAGGCAGTGTCCCAGAGGCTCGGACCCTGGAGCCCCAGCTAGACCCGGACCCTGAGGGAGACCTGGGTACGCCCCACCAGCCTCCATGACTTCGAGAGACACCTTTGGAGGCAGAAAGGCATCCAGCTGTGAACTCCTCCCATTCTTCCCTGCACCCCTTCACTGTCCCTTCCCCCAGGATTCTCAGGCCCATGGCCGGTGGGGACAAGGGGGTCTCTCCTCTGCTGGGCGGCTCAGACTCTGACCTCTCTGCCCCCTCCCAGGTGTCCGAGGGCCTATCTTTGGGGAGCCCATAGTTCAATCGCATCCGAGCAGTGTCCCGCTGGGAGAGGCCCGGGACAGCGAGGTGGACGTCTCGGACCTTGGGTTCCGGAACTACTGCGCACGCACGGACTTCTACTGCCTAGTGTCAGAGGACGACGTGTAACCCTGTCTCCTGGAGCCCAGGCCCACCCAGGTGGCCAGACTGCGGGGCCTGGGGGCTTGTGGTCTCTCTGCCCTGCCCTGGGCTCTAGCACTGCTCAGGGAAGGAGTGTGGCCCCAGGGCCCATTCACATGCCAGGAAAATAAAGTTCTTTCGGATCTGCCTGGACCTGAACTTCTCTCCTAGGGACTGAAAGGGGGTGGGGTTGGGGGTCCACAGTGTCCCGGGCCAAGCTATCTTCTCTCCCATAGCCCCAGCCTCTTTCTTCAGGGTTCTCCAGTGTCCCTGGTCTTGTACCCACGTCCATACATCTCGGGCCCCCTCCTCCGGGCCCCTCAGCTCCCCTTCTGGGCGCTCCCTGCTGCTGTAACGTCCCCAGGTTGTGGGTCCTGAGAGGCTGAAGAGTTTGGATTCTGCAAACATTTTCCACCACAAAGCTTGTGGAGAAAACACCAGTGGTAACCTCCTGCTCGATGCCCTCCTGCTGCTGGGGATGAGGGCGGCCAGCCCCCAGACCCCCTCACACACACAGTGAGAGAGGCCTAGCCAGCGGGGGTAGGGGAGAGCGGTGTGGGTGCATCTGAACGTGGTGCAGGGGGTAGGGGACAGCACTGGTGCCTGCTGGGCCACACCTGCTCTGCTGCCCTGCAGGTCACCTCTCAGCCCTGTCCGCACTGGACACTGTCTTCTTCCCGTCTTGGGTCAGATGTCCCCAGAGTCTGTGTGCGCATGCATGTTACCAGGCAGGCATGGGCATGCACCCTGATGCCTGAATTATCCACTCCCACTGAGGCAGGTGAAGAAGCATTTGGCCGAGGCTACTGCTCTCGGCCACTTTTATTGTCCAGTGCTGGCCATGAGGCACTGTCCAGCTTTGGCAAGCCCCCATTGCCAGTGTGACCTGGTCACCTCCCCAAGCCCCAGAGCAGTCCTGCTCCTCCCCCTGCCCTGCAGAAGCTACAACCCCAGCCAGAAGCCCCGCCCCCACCTTAGTGACCCAAGCCTCTCGCAGATGCACACAGGTCCGGAGAGGCCCATCCGTCAAAATCTTTGCCCTGTGGGCCTGCAATGCCGTTCAGTTCGCAGGACTCTGTCCCTTGGAGCCTCCGTGCTGCAGGCCTGCCTCTCCTCCATGAGGCCCTGCCTAGGACCCCAGGAAGTCCTCCTTGCGATAACCCTTCTGCAATGGAGAGAGGCCAGACAGGCTGTGACCTCCTGGCCTGGCATCCCCCAGTTGTGGGCCCTGCCCAGCAGGCCTAGCCCCCCACCTCGCCTATCCTGCCTGCACTATCCCTGCCCCTGCCCTGATGCCCTGCCTGGTGGCCCGCACTCCCAGACCCAGACCGGCCACCGGCTTTAGGACCTACCGCCCGGAAGTCGCGATGGAGCTTGCTGTACTGCCACAGGTTGGCCAGGAGGCTGGAGGCTGCCCGCGAGGACTTCTCACTGTCAGGGCTGGGGTGGGGGTGCGTCAGGAGGGCGCGGAAAGGCGGGGCTCCCAGAGGAGGGAGGGCATGGGCATGGTCAGCTGGGAGGGGACGTGATCAGCAGTGGGCGGGGCGTGGTCAACAGGGAGGGCAGTGGGGCTTGGTCAGGGGAGGGGCGGCTCACCCGTCGCGCTTCTTCTTGATAAAGATGAGCTTGCGGAGGCCGTCGAAGTAGAGCAGGTCTCGGGCGGCAATGGGGCTGGCCACCACTAGGTTGTTGAGCACCGCTATGATGTTGACCAGCACATCGGCCGGGGGACACTTCTCTCCCACGCTGCCGGGCAGCTTCTCAATCAGGTGACTCACCACCTTGGTGGCTACACACGGGTCCGGAGGTCAGCGTCCACCCCTCCGTGCCTGCCCCTCCCTCCTCTTGCCAGAAGCCGCCCTAACGGGGAGCCACAGGACCGTGGGCCCTGTAGGGGCTGCGGGCAGCCCTACTCACACATCTCGTCCTTGTTCCTGGCGTTGCGGGACAGGTTCCGGATGAGTCCGGTCAGAGAGCGCAGCTGGTGGTGGTCAGCCGTCCGGACGCGGTCCAGCAGGGGGTTCAGGATTCGTTCTTGCTCCAGGGCCAAGCGGCTCAGCACGCCAGCCCACTGAGGGGCGCGGGGCGGGGCAGTGAGAGCCGGCACTCCGCCCAGGCCCCCCCTCCCGCCCTGGCCCGGGCCCCGCGACGGCGCTCACCCTGCGATCTCCGGCAGTGATGTTCTGCAGCGCGCCCGCCGCCGCCTCGGTCGTGTGTCGGTTGAGCTCGCAGCGCTGCAGCAGCCGGTTGTACAGCCCCACGACCTGGGGGCTCCACAGCCACTCGAGGCCCTTCGGGTCCTTGGACACTTCCGCGAAGGTGAGCGCGTCGGCTGTGAGGGGCAGCTGCGCAGCAGGGAGGGAGAGCCAACCGAGTCAGGAGGGGTCTGGTGGGTGAGTTCAGGCGGGCCAGGGTCTCCCGCCAGGCCTACCTCGCGCAACCGCCGGCTCTGTGGCGTGAAGCAGCCCACCACCTCGCCAGCTGGCGCCCCCGCGGGGTCCCTGCGGCCCCGGCCCTCGAGCCGCTGCAGCGCTGATGGCGGCATCTCGTCGTACAGACGGTAGGACAGGTTCCTGAGCACACACACGGCGTTCTCCACGCTCTGCCGGGGCGGGGGAAGCGGTGTTAGAGCCGCCGGAGCGCCCCCCCCAACCCCTTCCAGGCCCCACTTCCCCCACAGGCTGCCCCTTACCTTGTCCTCACACTTGCCCACGTCCAGGGCGTGGTTGATGTAGGTGACCAGGGCGTCCACCAGTCCGTGGCACTCCCTCATCTTCTGGCGAGTGGCCTGGGAAGCTGAGCTGAGGTTCCTGTGGGCAGAGGCAGATGGAGGCTTCTGAACCAGACCTTCGGCCACCAAGTCCAGGCCGACTCACAGTGACCACAGGACAGACTGGAACTCCTCCTGTGGGTTTCTGAGACTGCAACTCTTTATGGGAACAGAAAGCTTCATTTTCGCCCACCCCACTCCCAAACAGAACCTGCCCCATAGGGACCCCAGGATCTAAGCATGTAGGGACCTATTGGCCTCTGGAACATTCTTGTCCACCCCTCCAACCAAACCTCACAGAGTGGGGGGTTTGTAAGCATCAGATCATGTCACACCCCGATTTTATGACCCCTGTGGTTCTGAGAGTCACCTACTCCTACCTGTGCACCCACCTGCCTGACCAGCATTGAGCCACCTGCCCCCCTTGCTGTGGCTGCTACTGTCATGGGGTTCTAGATTACACTTACCTCCTCCCACCCCCCAGCTACCTGTCTGTGCCCTGCTGTCTCACAACCGGCCTCCCATAGGCCCCCGGCCCCCTCCTGTCGTCCTGGGTCCCGCATATCCCTGGGTCCCCACAGACCCCCCCTATCCCTGGGCCCCCACAGCCCCCATAGCTCTGGGATCCCTGTATTCCCCACAGTCCCCCGTAGCCCCAGGGTCCCTGTATCCCTGTATCGGGGCCCCTGCACCCCTGCACCCTGCCATGGACCTGGGCTTCCCCTATCCCCCCACTCCCACAGCTCCCCATAACCCTGGGGTCCCCACATCCCTCTGCCCCTGCAGCCCCAGGTCCCTGCAACCCACCATGGTCCCGTCCTCCACAGCCCTCCATAGCCTCTGGCTCCCAATGTCCTCTTCCCTCCTCCCACCCCCACCCCCACCCGCTGTAGCCTCCTAGCCCGGGCCAGCGAGAGCCTGCACACCTGAGGAAGCCAGTGGCGTTGTAGAAGATTTCCGCCTCAGAGGCGTTCTGCTGTATGAGGGGTGGCCCCCCAGCCCCTGAGAGGGGACTCAGCACCAGGTCTGTGAGCTGCTCCAGCGTGTCCCGGGCCAGGCGGTCCTTCAGGTGGTCGCTGGATGACAGGTTCCACAGGATCCCTGGGCAGGCAGCACCGGGGCAGGGGGTCAGGATGGGGCGGGGAGAGGAAGGTCCCTAAGGTGGCTCCTGGTGGCCACCCCACCTGGAGGTCGTGGACAGGGGGGAGGGGCAGGGGTGGAGCTGACCCAGCAGGACAGTGATGGCCAGATTGGGGAGCAAGGGGAGGGATGGGACAGGATGGGGGTTGGGGTGGACAGCTGGAAGAAAGTAGACAGAAGACAAAGGAAGGGAAAGGAGGGACCAGAGCAGACAGGTGGAAACAGTAAAGGTCAGTGTGGGGACACGACAGTGTAGGGACAGGTGTGGACAGTATGGGGGACAGATGGAGACAGTCAGGGACAGTGTGGGGACAAGCAAGGTCAGTGTGGAGGACAGGCAAGGATAGACAGGGACGGGTGGGGGGCAGTGGGGGACAAGTGGGTGGCAGGCAGGGTCAGAGTGGGGGACAGGCAGGGCTGGTGTGGGGAATAGGGGAGGGCATGTGGGGGGCAGGTGAGGATAGACAGGGTCAGCGAGGGGATCAGCCAGGTCAGCTGTGAGGCAGGCGGGTGCAGGTTAGCGTGGGACAGGCGGGTCAGCAGGGGGACAGGCGGGTCAGCGGGGCAGTGCGTGAGGGGCACCTGTGACGTTCTTGCGCAGCTCGTCGTCGTGCTGGCGCAGCGCCCGCAGCAGCTCGAAGATGCCGTTCTCCTCCACCAGGGCCAGCTTGTTGTCGGCATTGTCGTAGATGAGGTTGCGCATGGCACCCGTGGCATGGCGCTGCACCTCCTGGTTGGCGTGGTTGAAGAGCTTCACCAGCCGGGGCACGGCCTGGAGGCTGCGGGCCTGTGGGCACAGACGTGTCCAGGTGCAGGCAGATGTGTGCAGACCCGTGGGGTGGGGCAGTGTGGGCAGGGATACCCAGGTACACACAGACGTGTACAAAGCTATGGAGACGTGCAGCTGTGTGCAGACCGGTCAAGGTGTGGGCAGCCGGAGGGCAGTGGGGTGATGAGGGACCAGAGGGCAGGGTTCACCTGCTTCTTGGCGGCGGTGTCGCTGTAGCACCGGTGCTGGATGTAGGCTGCCCCCAGCACCTGCAGGTTGGGGTCTGAGGCCATGAGGTACTTGACAGCCGAGGGCAGGTCCATATCGTCGAAGCTGCAGGCAGGGTTAGGAGTCAGCCCTGCTGGGGCCCTGTGGGGGCCCCGGCCCCCTCCTCTGCCCGCCCCTTGCAGGCTCCTTACCCACTGCTGAGCCTCTGCAGGGTGCGGTGGCCCCCGTAGCTGTCCGGCCCAGGGATGTCTGGCAGGTGCCCGGAATCAGCCAGGCTGAGACTGAGGCTGCGCACAGATGGCGCTCGGGCCACGGGCTCTAGCCCAGCCACTGGCACCGTCCCAACCGTGCCCCGGCTGCGGTGGCTGCTTTGAAACCGCTGCAGGGTCCGCATGGCGGGGGCTCGGATGGTCCGGCTGGGGGGGCCCTCGGCAGCCTCTGGCCAGTCTAGTGGCCCTGCCCGGCTGGAGTTGGAGCTGGCCTGGCGTTCGTAGGCAAAGGCACGGTAGGCGGAGGCAGCCGGGGGCTCCAGCTGCTCGGACACCACGCTGTAGCGGTCATCCAGGCCAGTGGGCCCCAGCCGGAGGGAGCGCAGGGACAGCGTGTCATAGTCAGCCCGGCCGCTCCGCATGTTGCGCTCATGGAAGGACACCGGCCGGGCAGGCCCAGGCACCGCGGGTGGCACTGGCCCATACCCTGCTGCCACATACGTGTTGCCCCCGTTGTGGGCGGAGCTCAGCCTTCGGCTGGAGCTCAGGTCCACAGCAGAGCGCGAGGACCAGGAGGCAGGGCTGTAGGTGGGCTTGGCAATCGGCCTGAAGGTCTGGGGGGGGGGGGGGGTGAGATGACGGTCACCAGGGGCCCACTTTGACCCCAGGGCCTCCCAGACGACCCTCAGGCACCCTCCCTCACTCACCGAGGTCTTGTCTGTGCTCAGGCCCTGGGAGCGGGAGCTGAAGCCGGTCTGCAGGGTGTGGTACTGACCTCTGGGCAGGCCTGGGCACAGGGACGGCAGTGGGCTGGCTGCTCCTGCCTCCTTGCCCATACCAGTCTTCCCACAGCCCTCTCCCAGAGTCCTGCTCCTTCCTGCAGGGGGGACCTCCTCTGTCCTAGCCTCCAGGGATGTCCCAGAGGCTCCTGCCCCAGCCCACAGATGC